TTGCGGCTACACAGTTCTTTCATAAAGCAACCAGTTAAGTTTTCTAACTTAATTATTTAAATCTTTAAACTGTTGTAACAATGTTTGTATTCAGGTGACAGAGGTAATTTTCCTTTTAGGTTATTTAGTTTTTATATGAGTTTTGCGTATTTAAAGTCCACACAGTCCACACATATATTTTCTGTAGACTGTAAATTATCCGTTTAGGTGCAATGAATTTACTCAGTCAGAATATGCTCGGTGTTGTCATGCTGTAATTCTTTCCTACGAATCAGGAGATAGTGAGGTTTTTCACCAAGCTTTGCAGGCCCCTGGATTAAAAAGCTTAGATAACGAAGTAGGGATTTGTGATATGATTTGTATCAAGCTTGTTACATTTTTTGACTGTTAGGTGGGAAGAATCTAATCGCTTTCTGTTTACAGTATCTAAGAATTATAAAGAAGCTGATGACTGTAAAATTAGAGGGCGATTTTGACCATCTTGCCAAAAAAACGAGAAATGGTGATCATGCGGACGATGCTGACGAAGAAGGAGAGATGGATGATTTGAAATGATTACCGTTGCCTGCAGACTCACTTGTCACCATCACGTCGCCACTAATCATGACCATTAAAAGCTGTTGCTCTGAAGAATTACTTTAGTATGTGCATCTCATTATTAGCCACATTCCTGACAGCTCTGCGTGATTTAATGACGTAGTCAAACAGTATAGAAGCTGGTTCTAGTCACTTGTCACTTTTTTCGTCCTGTTTCAGCCTTTCTATTTCTTAATTCGTGCTTTGTAAAAGCTGTGCGACTTCCTTTGGTGGAAGCTTGTAATTAGTTTAAGCATAATTATTGTTAATAAAGAAGTTAGTTGGAACTAGTTTTTTGCGATGTTGAAAGAGGTTTTCAGATGACGGCAATCATTTTTCAATTAAATTTTGAGGTTTGCAGTTTTTGCACATGAACTACAGGCTAATGTTTCTGGAGACATTGTTGATAACTATTGTACCGCGAGTTTCAAAAATTTGAGTTTCAATGGTGGTTAATATGGCAACCAGCAGTCGCTGTATCGCTAACGGGCGAAAAAAAGTTAAATATTCCAAAGCTGGAAGTCTAAGTAGTCTAAGGACATTGTTTAGTTTAGAAATAAACATTTTTACAGACAGTACAGGTGATTAAAATGGAATGAGACGGAACGGTGATGAAAATATGTGAAATAAGCATACTTGCCTGCGCAGATAAAAACCGGCTATTCTTGACACAGTTCTCACGTAAGTATATTGAAGTCCAACATTCCTCGGTATTCATCACCACTAAATAGCTTGGTGAATTGGATGAGCTTGAGATCTGACGACATTTTTCGCCAGATAACGATCACTGGTTGTAGCAGACGTAAAACTGATGCTTCAGTTGTAAAAATATAGTCTTAAACAATGTCGCTGCTGTGTAATCATTCAAAATTCAGCAAAAATCAACAAGTAAAGCAAAAGTATTCTAGTTTTTCTATTTGTTTTCGCTCGCACTTTATTATTCTTTATTTTTTCTTGTGTAAATAAAAGATAGGATCTATTTATACATAAAGAAGACAAGGAACTATTGTAACTGCAACTTGGAGGTAATTTCGTTTCTGCAATCTTCTCTTTATTAGTTAGTAGACTTTTTGCCATATTTCAGCAGTATCTGACTTTACATACGTCTATGTGCATCAAAAGTTTGGAATATTTAAAATTAATATGTTGAGTTTGCGAGAAATTATTTACGCAATTCATTAGTACTATCATCATAGAACAACTGCCATAACTATTGCTCTGAATTTCCGTTTCTGTACCAAAACAGCCCATATATTTCGTTCGTTGTTATCAGGAATATTAAATGGTTGCTTAAATCAGCAACAACTGTTGCTTAAATTGTACTTTTCCTTTCCTTTTAGCTGGCAGTACATTGTCATTTTGTGCAGTTTGGCCGACTGCAACTATTTGTACAATAGCTCATTGAGTTGTCCTATGTTGAAAAGTCCTGTTACAACATTAAAGCATCTTTATTCAAACAATTC